AAAGCAAGCTTAGAAACACGAGCGTGCGTTATATAGCAAAAAGTTTATAAAAATAAATTGTAGATGCAAAATAGYAWACTGAATAGCAGGACGTGAAAAAAGGTTATRTTTCAAGTGATCAAACTTATAACCAGTAAATCAATATCATATTTTTCCTCGAAATSAGAAGAATATTTTTTGTGAAGGATCCGCGCTGTGGCTTTCCACTGTTGCCACCCTGGGCTTAACTTTTTTCAATTTTAATTGAAGACCATATCAAAAAAATGTGCGACATGATGAAAAAAAAACCCTCATGAACAGTAATTCGCGCTATAAAACTATTATACACTTGAAAATATACACTTAGTGAAGTGATAAATCTTCTCGTAATCCTTTTCGTATTAAAACTATTTCCAAGTTTATGAATTTTCAAAATGAWCAAAAAGTTTAGAAGGATAACTGATGATAATTTTAATTTTAAAAATTTTAATTTTAATTTAAAAATTTAATAATTTTAAAAATTTTGATGGGTGAGGAAGTGTCCATCGTCACTATCATGTCCTGATAATCTATTTTTAGACAACCAATCACAACGCGCGTACATGATAGTCGATGCAGGCGAACGAAGTGAAGTTGCATTACGAGAATTTTACGGCCTTAATTTGCGGAACAACCATTTCTGAATCTGATAGAAAACATACTTTACTATATGATCAATGAAGCGAAAGTAGTTYAAAAGCAATATGGTCTGCGAAAACAGGGGRAAAGTTCGGACAAAGGTGAAGAAAGATGTTTTTTAATTATTTTTTTCTATCAAAAAATAAATGTCATATTTACATGCATTCTAGATATCGCTAAATCAGCTAGTCAAATGCTTAACTTGGGTTGCCTGTCCATTTTCTTTTCCTATCTATTGAAGTAGTATCAACAAGAACAATACATACCTTTACTACCATCTGATTGTCGGTGGCAAGTATAATCAGATGTCCCGATAATTTATTTTTAGACAACCAATCACAAGGCGCGCACATGTAACACGGCAACTGATTGTTTTTTGTTTTTTTTTCTGGGACTGTTATCTAATATTCCTGGTAAAATAAATATTCGACGCACGACCATCACCCTGAGTTTCGAACATGCTTGGAACTTCTTTTTTCGATCGCTGCAATAATCGCAGGGCTGTTTAGACATACGATTTGATCCGCGCGATCGAAAAGTGGCGATTGTCGCAAAAATCGCAAGTGTAATAAACGTGATTTTAGGCTCGCTAATCTTCCTGTGAACATCATTAAAATGCAATTCTTTTATTCCTCGGTAAAAATAGAAATGGTGTAATGCAGGCTAAATTGCACAAATGGCCCCAATAAAAAAATAAAGAAAACTACTGCACAAAAAAACAATTGGACAATCAATGAAATAACCAGCATTTATTACTTTTAGACTTACATATTAGAATGGTCGCTTTGAAATACGGATTTCATCTCGGTTATCGCATAGAAAAGTTCTCACTCGTCCGCTACTCTCACTCGAAAGACATTTTTCAAACTCGAAGATGAAATTCGTACAATTTTGCTGTTATAATATGGGAGTTCTAACTAACTAAGAGTTCCTGTATCTCAGCGTCCAAGTCAAGCAAAGACACAGTTTAGTTTAATGTTCTTATTCCCGGAGGTTTTGAATTTTTAGGAATTTTGAGTTGGCTAAATTATGCTATAAATTCTATTGTTTTCTATTGTTTAATTAACACTATTTTGTAGTAAATAGTGGAAAGTGTTGCATACATTTAATGTTTGTACTCTATTGGAGTACAATACAGCCTTTTGCAAAAATTATGAGAATTGTCTAAATATCTAAATATCATAATATCCATATCCATATATTGTCCGGAACACGCGGGTTTGCTAGAATAATTCATTGTTGACATCGAGAAAATGTTCAGAACTACGGATAAGTTTGTCGCCAAAAAAAAACTAAACTACAAAGACAAGGGACTAAGGGAATCGCGCGGGATTACCCATCATGCACTCGATATTATGATATTTAGATATTTCAACAATTCTCATAATTTTTGCAAAAGGCTGTACATGTATAAAAATATATATTAAAAATAGATATTTTATATTCATTAAGGTATGGAGAATGATATTATATTTAACTCGAATAACATTGATTTAACTTTAAGTAACAATGCGCGTAAGAACTAGGGAGCTCTCTATTGTTGTGCGGCATAGCAAGTTCCCCATGTACGAATGTCTTGGTTTTCACACTGATTATGTATCCATTTGTGGGTAACACATTTTTTAAATAAAATGTGGATAAACTCTATTTTGAAAGAAAGTTTCTTTTGTATTAAAAGCTCTTATCCAATCATAAGCACTCAAAACAATAGCTAAAAGATGCTTCTAATTTGCAATGTTCCCCACATAGAATTGCCTTTATATTGAAGCTAAAGCAAGCTTTCATGAAAGCGAAAAACGACATTAAATATAATATTAGAAAATTCGCTAACTTGGGAAATTATAGCAAATTTTCATGTTTTAACCAATGGGATGGATGGATTATACAATGCGCAATTAGCACCTTCTTGCATTCCTGTGCCGTTTGCTTCCCTAGTTCTTACTCAGGGCATTACTTAAGTATCGTCTACTTAAAGAATTAATGACATCACAAATTCGACTTWAAATTGCTGAATCTTGAAATTCTAAATGGCCTCATGTCATAAGATGGTGTTTCTCCCAAAGCAAGCTGGGATAATATTTTACCAACAAGAGGA